AATTAGAATAGGTAATGAGGAAACAAAACTGTCAGTCTTGGCATAATTTAAAGAACCCTAGAACATCAACTAAAAAATTCCTTGAAATAATCAACTTTAGCAAAGTTGTAGGATATAAGAGAAACCCACATTAATCATCAATATTTCTTTATATGACCAATAAAGCGCAGCAACAAGAGATAGAAAGAGAAATTCCATTTAAAATAACTGTAAGCAATATAAAACACTTGGAAGTCTACCTGCCAAGACAAACCCAGGAATATGAACACAATTACAAAACACTTTTCACACAAATAAAGTCAGATCTAAACCACTGTAAAAATATCAGTTGCTCATGGGTAGGCCAAGCCAATATAATGAAAATGACAATTCTGCCTAACCTAATTTACTTATTCAGTGCCACACCAATCAAACTACCAAAAAGTTATTTTATAGAGCTTGAAAAAATGACAACAAAACTCATCTGGAAGAACAAAAGATCAAGAATATTAAGGGAAGTAACGAAAAAAAAATACAAAAGAAGGCAACCCAGCAATACCAGATCTCAAACTATATTATAAAGTAGTAATCATCAAAACTATCTGGTACTAGCTAAGAAACTGGTAGTGGTGGATCAGTGGAATAGATTAGGTACATAATACATAGTAGTCAATGACCACAGTAACCTACTGTTTGATAAACCCAAAGACCCCAGCTTTTGGGATAAGAGCTCACTATCTGACAAAAACTCTGGGAAAATTGGAAAACAACAGGATATAAATTAGGTATAGACCAACATCTCAGACCTTATACCAAGATAAGGTCAAAAAGGGTGCATGATTTAGACATAAAGGGTGACAGCATAAGCAAATTAGAAGAGCAAGGAATAGTGTACCTGTCAGATATATGTGGAGGGGAAGAATTCATAACCAAACAAGAGACAGAGAAGCCTTACAAAATACAAACTAGATAATTTTGATTATATTAAATTAAGAGGCTTTTGTACAAACAAAACCAATGCAAATGTTGGAGAAGATGTGAGAAAATATGGATAGTGATGCATTGTTGATGGAGTTGTGAACTAATCCAACCATTCTGGAGACCAATTTGGAACATGCCCGAAGGGCAACCAAACTGTGCATACCCTTTGATCAAACAATACCACTATTAGGTCTGTATCCCAAAAAGATCATAAAAAAGGGGAAAGGACATACGTATCTCAGCTGCTTTTTAGACAGAAGACACCATTTCTACCAAGGATCTAATTTGGGGCTTTTATAGCTTGGCCAAACATGCCAAAACTCATAGTTCACTGACATACCCTTAAAGCCCACCAGAATTCCTCTGCAGCTGAGATACGTATGGAAAGACTCATCACTAGAAGGCTGCCCACTAATTAATAAACTGTCTTAGTCATAACAATTTTTAAGACAAACCAAAAAATCATAAAAGCCCTCAGTTCTATATGATGTCACCTACTCCTTACACTCCATAGTGTAATGATTATGGAAGAGTGGCAGAATAAACAATAATTTAACAGCTGCTACTCTAAATATGAGAAATGTACAAGAAATGAGTCAATATATTACTAGAAGGATTGAACCACACTAATACTGGCATACTTGCTATTGAAAACCCTGACTCTCGCAAACTTCAGGCTCATATATCCTGGATATGATCTCAGAGAATGACTGTTAAAAGATCAATTTTTCTTTACCTTTTCTGATCTCACTCAGAATTTACTCTGGGAAATCTCCAAATATAGCTTAGATCTAGGTGACACAGTTCCACGCTCTGACATAAACAAGACAACATAAGCAATGCATCTTATATGTGGGACAACTTTTATTTCACCCCACAGAAAAGGTAGATGGTGCTCAGTATTCAACAGGAGCCTATAAATATTCACAGTAGCTCATGAATAATTCTATCTTTCTGATGGGTTTTACTTTTCCACCAGGGTCCTAAATTCCTTCTGACTCAGTCTGTCCCACAAGAGCTATTAATGGCTATTTGGGACAGAAGCACATGGGAACTTCTTTCTGGCACAGTTCAGAGACCAGAGAGTGGATTTTTCCAGCTCAAGCAGTGACAGTTGTCAAGACACTTGTGGAGTATCCTAGAGAGGCATATGAGAGCTGCATGTGCTCAACCATGTAGCAAGCTGAGAGGATAATAACAATGATAATAATAGCTTGCATCTATATGGTTTGAGAAGCACTTTACATATGCTAACTCATGTGACCCAAGTGCATGGATAATATTCCTGAACCCCAGCTTCTTGTACAGAAGAGAGAGGATTTGGATTTCCTAGGCAGCATGATCCTAGAATGTCTTCTAGACAGAGAAGGGAGACTCTTAGGCAACACATCTAAGTGACTGCTTCAAGAGTAAGCATAAGTTCAAGAATTCAGACCTGGACTTCTGGAGAGAGAAGGGAAGCTCATGATCATCACGATTCTTGGACAGAGAAGAGTATCACTTGTATTCTCCCTGCTGTTGGAGGAGTGGTAAGGGATTAAATACTTAACACAGAGAGGCACAAGGACCTACTATTATCATGAGTTATTTAGATGATGAGGGCCCTTATACAAAGGACGTTTGCCTTTGGGAAAGAGTCCAAACCACAGTGGTTGGCATTACAAATAAAATCAGAAGACATTAAAAAGTTTCTAAATGAAAAGACAACTCACCGATTCTTCTCAAAAAGGGAAAGGCAATACGAAGCATCATGTCATGGGATACTCAGCTCACTGCACAGTGCTTACAATAAGCATAAAAAGATCATTATGAAAATAGCTTTAAACATCATTTTTTGTTACATGAGATCTAGTGAAATTTTACAAAGAATTTGACAAGATCCTCAAAAATTAGATCAACACATATCTTAATACATAGTGGCTTTAATGAAAGTAGGTACAGTGGGTCAGCGAAAAAACATATTGCGAAATAAGATTTGGGACCAAGAAATGAAAATAGACAAAGGCTGGTAAGAAAACAAAAACAAAAACTCAGGAGCTTCACACCAAACATCATGAAAATTTTAAGAAAAGAATTAGGGAAATTAGGGAAAATGTTAAGAGTAGGAGAAAGCAATATAAGCCCAGCTCTCTCCCACAACTATTCTAACAAAACTGAGAGAAGAGCACTAAACCAAGTAGTGATGGGAAGTATAAGAAGAAACCACATCGAGTTGTTTTTCCAGCCCAAGATCATGAATTCAGCTTACAGGTAAATGGCCAGGGCAGGAAGGGTTTGGGGAAGGGGGAGTGGGGAGAAGTAGAAACTCTGTTACTCAAATCCCAGAGATGGATCACAGATTCAACTGATGGGTTCAGTCCAGAGTGGGGAGATAGATAGTTCTGTACTCTGACCAAGGAGCAGGATCACATATTCAATCCTCAGGCTCAGACCATTGGTGGGCTGAGAGCTCTGTTGCTTTGATCTCTGATTTTGCCCAGGAATAAAGGCACTAGGGTAGGGGCTGCAGACAAGGGGTTGGCCTATGGATCTGTCCCTTTGAATCTGCAGAGCCTTCCTGTAGTGCTGACAACTACCTATTGGAATTCCAGAAAAGAACAAGACTACAATAGGATTGCCTAGATGCAAACTGGAGCCCAGAGCCTATAAAGTACTAGATCAGAACAGAGGGCCAGCTGAACATTTGCAGCTCCCTGGCCTGAGCTGTCCCTGAGATCCCTGAAGAAGCCAGCATACAGTACCCTGAGAACCCAGAGGCATGACCTCAGATAATAGAGACCAAGTCTATATAAGGTCTCAGCACTCCCTCCAGAAAACTCACAGCCTGGCCTTAACACCAACTTGCCAACACCAGGATTCTTGTCATTTTCCTTCATTTAGCTGTATCTGTTTGGATGGAAGGGCAACATGGGGTTCTATGAGTAGTTCACAATGCATGGCGTACTCACCTTTCTTATTCCACCTTCATTCAGGCAGACAACACAACATATTGCTATAACAGAAAAAAATTTGCCTCACGTACCTTCCCATTTTATTGTTTTATGTTCTATAAGCTGACCATAGTTGAATTCAATGCACAAAGACTTCTGTGTTAGAAATAAAAGAGGGTCTATTTGTCCTATTTTATCTTGAACAAAAAGCAATCAATGGTTCTCTTAAGATACACAATATCACGGTCTACCTCCTCCTTGGGTTCCCATAGATTTTGTTGCCTTTCAAGAGATGGGACCCTATCTGCCAGATATGAATAACTTTGTCTTTCTAATTTGTTCAATCTCAACAGATACACTTATCTCAGTTGGGAAATTATACTACAAAATTTCACCCTCTTCTAGAACTGTGTACCCTGATATGAGTGATAAATGTATAACAGATTCCTCCCCTTGCCCTACCGATCTCACTAAAGCTCAACTTTTCTACATCTAGGACACAGACACCCTGGATTTATGGATTGTATAGAACGTCAATTATTGTTTTGAAACTCTACCCAAATTCCCCAATTGCACAGATGTGAGCAATAAACTTCAAACAACCTGTTCTTCCTACCTCCTCTTCTTTGCCTCCTGGCTTCCTTCAGGTCCTAGCTAAAATCTCATCTTCTGCAAGAAGTCCTTCCTGATCCCTCTTAATGCTAATACTTTCCCTCTAAGATTAGCTCCACTTCATCCTGTCTACATCTTGTTTGTACATAGTGGTTTGTGTGTTGTCTCCCCCATTAGACTGGAAGTTTCTTGAGAGCAGGGACTGGGGTTTTTTTTGTTTGTTGTTGTTTTTGTCTTTCTTTGTATCCTTACCATTTATCACAGTAACTGACATAAACCATGTGCTTAATAAATCCTTGTTGACTTAACTTAACTGCTTTACAAACTGTTGGTTTTGTTTGTACCATGACATTACTTACTTCTACATTCATTCATTATCTATGTCCGATAATATGAGATTAATGATTTGTATAAACTGAACCCAACACATCAACTTTGTGAGTAGCCTGAATCAACTATTGTTCTAATTGACAAGACAAATACTGACAGATAAAATACCTTTTTTTTCATATCTTCTCTTCTCTTAGATATTTTTTTCATAATAAATCTTTCTTGAGGTTCCATTTTCTGCAAATTTAAGAAAATATATTCATATGATAGCTTGTGCAATATAGGAAACCCACTTAATGAGCTAGACTGATTTCTGCATGAATATCAATTATTATTTGCCATTAAAAAATTTAATACAATTATATACTGTTGTTAAAATCTTGAAAAAATCATAAACTTAAGGCAGCATATGAGCAGAGGTGACCAAATGTGAAAATGGGCCTGATGCAAATGACAGTCAAACTCAGTCCTAACTCAGAAGAAATAGTCAGCCAGTCAATTTTAAGAGGCTTAGGGCACAGACTTGGAACTTTTGACCATATTTGATAACCCAAACTCATGTGACATTTTAATTCCATAATGTACAAATCAATTCAATTCAGCCTTAATTTATTAAGTATCAACTGCGTACAAAACACATAGACAGGATGCTAAACAGGACTATAAAATATGGACTATCAAGTACATTCATTCTTTAGACTCTTCAGGATGAGAAAACAAAATTTATAATGCAGATTTTACCATCTTGTAAAAAATTAGCATCCTGTGTTTTTAAAAAGTCTGACCCTGCAAGTTAAAGCCTTCTTTTCATCAAGAAAGGATATTACTCAGTTCCCAAAGGTCAAGGAAGTGGTGGATTAACTATTTTTGTATCAACAGACTTAGAAGTCAATATCCTAATCATGAAAATGTTTTCTGAGCCATTTTCCAGCCCATTTTGAGCTATGGTAAACACTAAATAATATTATTTGTAGAAAAATTGCTTTCTGCCTAACACTTAGAAATTTCATTTCCCGACATCCATTTTGTGTTACATGGAGATTTTAATAACAGAATAGGAATTGGAATGCTAATATAAATTGAACCATTCCCATTTAAAAAAGCTGAGAAAGTTTTTAGGCTGTCTCATAAACAAAAGGACTGTGTTACAATTTCTTCTTCATTTATGCTTGATACAAATTATTTTTATGTCCAGAACAAGATTAAAAGCAATCACTTTTCTTTGACCTTTCATATGAAATCTGCTGGCTGGAGCCCAACTTGAAAGAAAACCTGATGGTCTATTCATTTTTATCCTTCTATCACTAAGCAATTCAATATTTGTATTTTAAGCACTTCTAACAAGAAGCTTTGACGATCAACAAAGATCTTTTTGAATCTTCCTGTATTCTCACTTAGTATCTTGAATCAATGTTAGCTCATGACCAGTTATCTAAGTTTAACGATAGTTCTTTTTAAATAAGTGTTTTGATGGAGAAGCAAGATGCTGGGGAAGGAGACGAGGGGGGCAGAGAAAGCAACTTCTCCTGAGATATCTAACAACAGGGAAGGATCACCTCCTGGATGTCTATTGTCTCAACGTTATAAGACACTTCAAAGGAAAAATGAAATTTGCCACAGAATGACAAGGATATTTACTACTAGTAGTAATAGTAACTCACATTCACATAACATCATAACATTTGCAAAGTACCTTCATTCCAACCACCCTGTGACATAATGACTGCTGAGGAAAGAAAAGCACAAAGAGGATGTGCAATTGATCCACACTACCAGTAAGCACTGGCATCCAAACTGGAATTCAGGTTCTCTGACAAAGAATCTTGTCTAAAGGAGGATGCCTGCAAAGGGCTGACATAATTTGGGGGAATCTGGGGAGAGGGGATGGGTCCTGTCTTCAAGCTCTAGTTAACATTTTCTAGTGGATAACATAAATTTACTTCGATGAACATCTTTATTATAAGTTAACCACTGACAACATACAAAAGGAAGATATGTTCTCCCCAGAGATAAACAAATTCTGATTTGGCATTCATCAATTTTACCAATACATCTTTTCACACAAGTTAGTGTATAGGAGTTTGTTTTTCTTCTGGTAGAGAGAGAATACTGTCTTTCTCATATTTTAAAAAATCTAATAAATAGGATCTAGGTAATTTTACCTAGTAAGCCTCTAAATTTTATAGCAAACAACTACTGAAGAAATTAGAAGACTCATAAATCAGAAGTTCTTTGTAGTTATTCTTAAAAGAAAATATTTAAGATCAATTTTGGAAAATGCATGCTGCTTCCTGAGTGATACAGACATGTTTGTACTGTAACTTAAAAGTCTCTTTTATAAATGATGATTTGAAAGGCAAGTAGGCAATGCTGTGGATAAAGTCACAGGCCTGGAGTTAGAAAGACCTGAATTTAAATCCAACCTCAGTCACTTACTAGCTATGTGACTTAGGCAAGTCATTTAGCCTCGGTTTGTTTCCTCAACTATAAAACAGAGATAATAAGAGCACCTACTTCCTAGAATTGTTGTAAGGATCAAATGAGATATTTGCAAAGTGCCTGGCATCTAGTAGGTGCTATATAAAATATGAGCTATCATAATTACGTTGGAATAAAAATTATTTTAGATGTAGCAGTTAATTAACATGATGATATTCTGGTCTGATTATCTGATTCATCTATAAAGTCAGCACTGAAATGATGCCTTTACATTTTTGGAAACTCAGTGCAGTGTTATTCTGTTGTTTATTTTGTAGCTCCTTCAGATCATCACATTGTGTTTAATCTGAGTATTAGATGTTTACAATAGCATTTGGCCAAAATCACTATAGTTCTGTTCTCCAAATTAGTAAATTGGGTTATATCTTTGCTTTATCAAACAAAAGATTTTGTAGTTTTGCAAATATAGATACCCTACAGTAATAGTTCTTAAGTTGAGTCTTTGAACTTACTTTTAAAATATTTTGATAACAATATTTCAATAGAATCACTTTCCTTTGTCATGTTACATATTTGATCATGTGCATTTAAAAACATTATTCTCACAAGTGGTACATAGGCTTAACCAGACCTCCAAAGGATAAATGGTACAAATAAGGTTAAGAATCCTTGCTTAGGGTCATATCTTTAGCCAACACCATTATATATTTGTAAAGGGCAGTGGTGTGGTTTTTGGAGTACTGGTCTTGGAGGAGAAAAATCTTGGCTAAAATTCTCCCCACGGATTCTTATTAGCAGTACTCTGAACAAATCACTTAACTTGTCTCAGTTTTCTTATCTATAAATTGAAAGTAATAATGGCAGCTACCTCGCAGATGAGTATAAGCATCAAATGAAATAATATGGAAAAAGTGTTTTGCAAACTTTGGAGTTATTCATAAATGTCAGCTAGTATTATTGTTATTATTATATTTGCTAGAGTCTCCTGAGGTGAAATTTCAGTAAGAAATATGGAAACAGGTTTTTCCTGAGTGTACCTTAATCTGTTCTCAAACTTTCAAATTCAATTAAAATATAAGAGAATTAGTTTTTAGCATGTTTTATCCGTTGGATGCTAAAGTGACCAGGTAAATTCCAGTCTGGTGGTTGGACAGCTGTTAATAACTATTTTTAAAAACTGCCCAAATAGCTAACATTCAGTAAATAATGAACAAATACTTGTTGGTTGATTGAAAAGTGCATTAATTTCCAGAATTTATGATTTTCTATTTGCAAAAGGATTTTGTGGTCAAAATCAGAATTAAATGTACTATGAATCACATGAGAGCACAAGTCCAGATTTTGGTTCATTCCTACTCAAAATATGACATTGATTTTGAAATTAATTTTAAAACATTACTTTCCTTAACTGTGTCAGCTGACATCTCCTCCATTTTCTGATAATGATCCATTAATTCTTTAACATCACACAAAAAACCAATAAGATCACAGGTTAATACGTAAAATGACAAGTTGACTCAGTTGATTACTGTGTAGGTTTCTTTATCAAAATAATAAACTAATTTCAAATTCACATTAGTGATTTAATATTCCAAGTACTAAAAATGAAACTGAATGTGTGTATATATATTTATCTAATGAGTTATGAAAATATCCCAAAGCCCCAAATTCTAGATTTTTAATTTAAAATCACTTGAAACAAAATGCTAAAGTTCTATTTATCCAACAACTCAATTGCCCCCCAAAAACCTATAACTAAATAGCAGGTTCTATGTGTAGAAATTTTCAAGCTATTTGAGAATTCTCTAAAGAGGCTATTTTGTTTTAACAAATGTTGCAAATCAAAATTACAGTAGAACTTTGCTTAAAATTAATTATTTGTAAAGTGCTTTGCAAACTATAAAGCACTATAAAAATGATATTATATACAGGCATTACTCCCCAATCCACAGAAAATGAAACTATGATGACTCTCCAGACATGGCTCTAGATATGGCCAGATAAACCTCTTGGGGTATGGGCTGTTTTAAAATTCTTCTGTATTGACACAGCATGTAGAATAGGATGGTCCTACATTGAGTCCGAACAGAAAATGGATTCCCTATCAACGTAGGGATTCTCCAAAGGCCCCTATTCAAATATAACATTGTACTAATTGGATTAAAGCAAGAACACTACAAATCCTTTCCGTGAAAGCTTATAATGATTCAGAAGAGATCTTTTTAGCTATTCACACCGGAAAAGCATTTATTTCTGTTATTATATATTCTCAGCTTGTTTCTAAGTTGACAGTTGAGTTAGTTCATTGATATAGAGCTCTCTCTCTAGCAAGGATGTGCATCTGTATCTCTTGAACTTGAACCTTAGATACCATCTAGGCCAAACCCTTCATTTTCTGAGGGTGAAGAAGTGACCCAAGGACACACAAGTAGGATCAAGGATTGTAGGGTTCTAATCCCTCCACCAGATGTTGATTATTTGTCACATCATGTGACCTGATGCTTACTTAGCAAGTAATTTAACCTCTGACCTTCAGTTTCTCCATCTGTAAAATGATGGGGTTAGATTAGACTTCCCGGAAGGTCCCTTCGAGCTCTAAGACCTATGGTCCTAAGATTTAGCGCATCTAAGACTCTTCAGTTGGTCATCCATTCAACCTCATCAATTTACTGGTGAGTAAGGTGACAAAAAGAAAGAAGTTGCCAAAGGTGACCCAGGCAGTGTCAAAGATCTTAGGATTTAATGTAGGAAAAGATTTCAGCAGTTATCTGGTCCAACCCCCTTGTTATAAAGGAATAAACAGAGGCAAGAGTTTGAGCCCAGATCTCCTGACTCTTGACAAGAGCCCACATGGCATAATGGGACAGTACTGGCCTTGGAGTTAAGAAAAAACCTCTGTCCATCTCCTGCCATGGACACTGACTAGTTGTGGAATGCGGGGCTGGGTTACTCTGGGGGCTCAGTTTCCCTGTCTCTAGGATGAGCGGTTTGGCGTCCAAGGTGCCTTCCAGTTCTATAATTCCAAACCCAGTCCCGTGCCCATGCCCGATGTCGGGCAGAGGCAGCACCACATACAGTAATTTGTGGCCTGCGAAATGTGCTTAAAATAACACCTTCCTCCTAAAACGGCGCGCCAATCCGACACTCCCCACGGACGCGCAAGGGGAGGAAGACAGGCTGGAAGCGCCACCAGCTCTGGGACTACGTTTCCCAGCAGCCTCCGCGGCTCCTACCTATTCCAGGTTACTCGCTCTGACAGGCCCAGCTTCCCCCGCGGGCACCGAGAGCCTACGAGGTGCGGGGTGAGCCAGTGGCTGGGGAAGGGCTCTCAAAAAGGGCTCAGCCCTCCTCTTGAGGGAAAGACGCGCTTTAAAAGAGCCGCCGCATCTCCTCCGCGCTCCCTAACGAGCGCAGTTCCCTACCCCTCAGCCGACTGAGCGAGCGACTAGAACGAGAGTCCCGTGAAGTCAGTGTTCGAACGTGCGCAAAGAAGGCGGCTCTGGAGCATGCGCAGTACCGGCGCCCTGGGGACACGGGTCTCGCGCTGGGGTCGGCGGCTGGAACTTCGAGAGCGCGCGAGCTAAGGGGGCGCAGTCCCTGGGATGGGTGGATGGCACGCGAGCGTCTGCTGGAGCAGCAGCTGGAGCTGGCCGCTGTGGGGAGGGGCTGGAGCTCCAGCCCTGGGCTGTAGAGTGGGGTTTCCCTGCGGGAATTCCCGCTCTCGTGCTTCGGGGAGCCCCGCATCTGCCGCAGTGGTCAAGAAGAACGGTATGCTCAGCTCGTAAGTATCGGCAGTAAGCGCGCCCACCTTCTGCGCCGCTGGAGGAGGCTGCCAGGTGAGTACCGCTACGCTGTACTCCTGGAGCGTAGGGATGGCTGCTCAGCCCCGCCCCCCTCCGGAGCGCGCCAGTTGTAAGCATTCAAGTTCAATGCAGGGAGAACTTGGGATTCCCGAAGCAGACGCGGAGCGGTGAAAGGTATCTAGGTCTGTTTGTCTGTTCTTCCCACCTAGGGTTTTTTTGCTGTCTCTTATTCGGGAAATTGCTTCTGCGTTTGGAAACTGAAGACAGCTGTAATTTGTTCTATTTAAAAAAAATCACCTTGGGTGGTTGGGTCCAACAGGGGCAACAGTTTTTGTGTTTCCAATGTATCGTAGATGTGTGTGTGTGAGAGAGCTCGAAGAATCATGTGGCTTTTAGGACACGCACGTTGATTTCCAGCGAGATGGTTGTTTAATAAAATAAATAAGATCTGAGTTTGTTCGTCCTAATTGTCCTCCAAAATGGTTTAATAAAAGAAATAGCTTAAATCTGCTTGTTTTTCCTTGTGTGTCACCTAAACGGAAAATAAATAAAAATATCACTTACTTGGAAACTGGTTTTATGAAAACGATATCAGAAAGCTTACCAGGGAGGAAAGTAATGTTTTACATTAATTTCAATAAACATTAAATTGTGAATGAACATTTATTAACTGCATACATGTACCAGGCGCTGTGCTAATCACTGGGGGTACAAAGAAAGCTAAAAGACACACAGTCCCTGCTCTCAAAGATAAGGAGACAGCATGAGAACCATTGACCGATGATATATACAGGATAAATTGGAGCTAATCAATAGAAGGAAAGCACTAACAATGGAGTGATTGGGAAAGGCTTCCTTTAGGAGGTAGGATTTTAGTGGGAACATGAAGGAAGCCAGGAAGTGGAAAGGGAGAGTAGAGAGAGTATTCCAGATATAGGGGACAGCCAGTGAAATTCCTGGTCTTGTCTGAAGAGCAACAAGGAGGCCAGTGTCACTGAATTGTGGTTGGGGTGGGGGAAATGGGGCACTGTAGTGTTAAGGTGCAAGAAGAGTAGAAGAAGCAGGTTATGAAAGTCTTTGGGTGCCAAACAGGGTTAAGTGGGTATCAGAGGCTGGATTTGAACTCAGGTCTTCCTGACTCCGCGTCTGACACTCTATCCACTGTACCACCTAGCTGCTGACTTACATGCTCTCAGATTCACATAATTATTGAATGTCCCAAATATGGAATATTGTGGATAAATAATACTCACCTATTTTGATTCCTTAGGCTTCTAATTCCAGTTCTTACTATTTTTGATTTTGTTTCTCTGCTCTTGACTTCCTCCATTAATGAAATGGTTATCTCTAGGAAGATTCTGAAGATCACCTGGCAGGATAAGGTACCAGGCACTGAGGTTCTTTTTCAAACTAAACTGCCCAGCGGTGGTCAGAAAAAAATGATAAAAGGACACTGTCAAGGTCTCTCTGAAGAACTTTGGAATTGATTGTATGACATGGGAGACACTGGCACAGGACCCAGCATGACATGCCCTCATTCAAGAAGGTGCTATGCTCTACAAGCAAAGCAGAATTGAAGTAGCTCAAAAGAAACGTGAGATTCACAGATTTAGAGAATTCACCCCAAATGCTCACATGGACTATTTGTGCTGGACCTGTGATAGAGCATTCTGAGCTCATAGTGGTCTAATCAGCCACAGTCAGACAGTACCGTAACTTGATTCTAACATAGTGATGTCATTTTGGTTCTCGTGGATTATGAAGGACAACAACCAGCCGACAAACTGGTTATCTTCCCAGGTTACCAGTGATATCTTAGGTGCTCTATCCAGTGTAGTAGCAGGCCTTAATAAATATTTGTTGAATGGAGTATGGGACAAGGGACCTTTGTGTTTGCTTGCTAAAGGAAATTGTAATGTTTCTCTTGGTGCTTCATAATACCTTCATGGATTTATTTTTTAGAGAGGGCAGACATAAAGACAAAGGAACTACTTGGGGGCCTGGTTTTGCCAGTTGTTATGGGGCTATAGACAAAGTCATTTAACCTCAGTGAACAAGGTGACTCTTGGACTAAGTAAATTCTAAGGTCTTTCCAAAGTCCTGTCTTCCACCTAATTTTATCTGGCTCCCTTTGTGGCTTGCAGAATATCTGGGCAAGGTTAGGTAGGGGTCTAGTCTACTTCTGCAAAATGCTGTTTTCTCTTGGTAAATCTTATAAGTCTATGCATGAGCTCAACCTTGGTCTCAGCATGGTATTTTGGCTCTATTACTCTTCATAATTATTTTTCTACAGAAACAAAATAAAGCAAAATTAGCCATTAAAATTAATTACTAAATTTGAATGTGATATAGAAATAGGGGAATTTTTTATATGAAAATGATAAGGATAAATGATAATAAATATCTAATAAATGATATAATAAAATAAAGGATAAATGAAAGGTATTTGTTAACTATGTGCCAAGCAAATACAAATGATATAATTTCTGCCCTCAAGAAGTTCATAGTCAAGCATAGGGGAGATAAGACATATAGAGGAATGATAGCTAGAGAAAAGCACTTTGGTCTGGGAAATCATAGGGATGGGAAGAGAAGCCAGAGGAGAGTCAGTTAACATGCCCTTTCCAGAAGCAATAGTATTGATTTCATCATGGTTCCTCAATCAAGTGGGGCAAGGCAGGTGGGAAGCAGAATATTTGCTCAAGGCCTAAGAATAGAGAGGATGGGAAGAAGATGGCTGAGAATGGGGTGTGAAGCATGGTTGGGATGATCTGGTCTGGGCTCAGTAGGTTTGGTTGGGGCCATGTGTGAGTTTTCTTGACCAATCTGGACAGCTAAGGCACTGGGCCTGGAGTTCCAAAGATGAGTAGTCCCCAGGGCATGGTTTCCCCAAGGCAATTTTAAATCTGGTATTTATTTTCTCATATTTTGTTGCTATATTTCAGGTTGTTAAGAGCCTTTAAGTAAAGTGAGCAAAAGTCAGTTCTTTAAATGCTTTTTTTTAAGGCAATTGGGGTTAAGTGACTTGTCCAAGGCCACACAGCTACTAAGTGTCAAGTGTTTGGTCTGAGGCCAGATTTGAACTCAGGTCCTCCTGACTTCAGGGCTGGTGCTCTATCCACTGCACCACCTAGATGTCCCCTAAATGCTTTCTTTAAAAAATGTTTTCAATTGTGTTGTACAATTTAAATCTTTTTATGCCAAATAGTAATATGTAGCCTTGGTTTAAGATGTTACAACAGAATTATATCCATGTTTTCTTTTTTAAAAAAGTTTTATAGAGCTGTGAGCTCTTCCATCCAGGGTATACTTGCCTCCCCCCTTCTCCAGGTGCGGTACCACCTCCTCTCTCTCTTAAGGGTTTAAACTGGCCACTTCAAAGTTCACTCTGGAGAATGATGTTGCTGCTCTGGTTGCTGACAGTGACTCTGGAATGTGCAAAGCTGGCTTTGCAGAAGACGATGCTCCTAGGGCTGTCTTCCTTCCCATTGTTGGGCACCCCAGACATCAGGGTGTTATGGTGGGTATGGGCCAGAAAGATAGCTACATGGGGGATGAGGCCCAGAACAAGTACCCCATTGAACATGGTATTTTCACCAATAGGGATGATATAGAGAAGATATGGCATCATACTTTCTACAGTGAGCTCCATGTGGCCGCTAAAGAGTACCCTGTGCTGCTCACAGAAGCCCCCTGAACCCCAAAGCCAAGAGTCAAAAGATGACTCGGATTATGTTTGAGACCCTCAACACCCCAGCTATGTACGTTGCCATTCAGGCTGTGCTATCCCTGTATGCCTCTGGTCATACCACTGGTATTGTGATGGACTCCCTCAAGAAGATTCTGACCAAGAGAGGGTACACTTTCACTACCACAGCTAAGAGGGAAATCAAAGAAAAACTGTGTTATGGTGCCCTAGACTTTGAGCAGGAAATGGCCACTGCTGTATCTATCTTCTCTCTGGAAAAGGGCTATGAGCTCCTTGATGGTCAGGTTATCACTATTGGCAATGAGAGGTTCTGATGCCCCAAAGCCCTTTTCCAACCATCTTTCTTAGATATGGAATCCATGAAAATACCTGCAACTAAATCATGAAGTGTGATGTTGACATCCGTAAGGATGGGTATGCCAATACCATATTGTCTGGTGGTACCACTGTGTACCCAGGTGTTCCTGATGGGATGCAGAAGGAGATTACAGCCCTAGCTTCCAGCGTGATGAAAATCAAGATCATTGCCTCACCTGACCACAAATACTCTGTATTGGAGGTTCCGTTCTGGCATCTCTTTCCACCTTCCAGCAGATGTGGATCAACAAGCAGAAGTATGATGAATCTGGGCTCTCCATTGTCCACTGCAAATGTTTCTAAATGCACTCCTTATGTTTTTTTGGTTGGTTTTTTTTTTGTCAAAAGGTGTGACATGATAATTGCACCCTCCCCCCACCACACACAAAAAAAGATAAGATTGGCATAGCTTTATTTGTTTTTGGCTTTTTTTTGGGGGGGGGAGTTTGGCTCAGAATTTAAAAACTAAAGCATTGAAGGCGATGAACAATCTAAGTACATTGGAGGCAAACATCCCCAGAGTTCTACAATGCATCTTCAGGACTCTGGTTGTACATTTTTTTAATAGTCATTCCAAATATTGTATAATGCATTGTTACAGAGAGTTACTTGCCTCCATGATGGCTGTCCTGCTCTGCTGGAGCAAAGAAGCTACATAACAGAGATCCAGATGGGGAGGAGGAGAGGGGGGAAGGTACTAGTATTGCTTTACATGTAAATTGTGTAATCCTTTAAAAAAAACCTTTTTATATCTTCCACCTTAATACTTATTCCTTTTTTTAATTGTCAGAGCCATAATTAATGGCCCCCTAAATTCCCTCCCTGCCCCCAACATAGATGTGAACGAAGACTTTACAATCTCCCAGAAAGTTTTATGAGATTGGTGCTAGTATTTGGGCTAGGGGAGGAGCTTTACCTGTACCCTAACTTAAGATCAGTTCAAATAAAAGTGCACACATTAAAAAACAGCAGATAAAGGGGCAGCTAGGTGGTGCAGTGGATAGAGCTCTGGCCTTGGAATCAGGAGGTCCTGAGTTCCAGTCTGGTCTCAGACCAGACACTTGACACTTACTAGCTGTGTGACCTTGGGCAAATCACTTAAGCCTGATTGCTAAGTAAAAACAAAACAAAAAAGAAATTAAAAAGTTTTATAAGGGAACACTACAGATTAGGGACTGAAAGATACATTTTATGGCAGCGTTTTCCATGTATTTATTGATGGGGTTTTTTTATGTTTTTAGATAAAAAAATTGTACTACACATGCTTTACATAAAATAATCCATACAAATAATTTTCTTTTCTCATTTTATTCTAATGAAATTAAGAATTTATTATATTTATAACTATCAAACATTAACAAAACAAAAATAACATCAGATATTTATTTATTGAAAAATCCTTTCAGTTTTCATATTTATAGCTTAAAAATAATATTTGTGTGATAAGTAGGTTTCTTTTTTTCAGTGCCATGTTTTTCAAAATTTGGTATATTAATGATATTGCTGCTTACAGTTTTTTCAACCATTTCGTCCACAATCAAGATCAATATAACAGATAAAATAGAAAACTACATTTCACATAAAAAGATGTTACAGATGGTAGTAATAGTTGTACCATTTCGATAAAAACAAATATTCACTGATAAATATCATAACTTTCCCAGGTTTAAGCAGTTGTTTCAAAGTATTATCACAAGATATCTGTTCACCTTTCTTATTCAGATGAAATACCAAATGTATCATATTTGTCTTTGGTAGATGGGTTTCTTATCTATTTATATTTAGAAATATCCAGGTTTCTGAACTGAGAGTTGTTTCTGTAGACTAGTTAAGTGACTGATTAGCATATCTTTACTCTCTTCTATTTTGTTTGCAGAGCAAGCATTTTAAAGGTAGGAAATATTTTTTTAAAGTTATTTTGTAAATTTGTTATCCATACTTTTTACTTTTCAGTCACTTTGTTTTCCTGCATCAGAATATGAATTTGAGAGCTTTGTATTAATTTATTTAGAATACTAAGTATTTTTAAAAATCCACCAAATAGGCAATTTTTATGAGGAAATTTTTGATATAAAATAAATTTTACTTTATCTTTATTATCAGCACAAAAAATAGCAATTTCACCTTGAGTTCACACACTTTGTAGTGCTTTGGCACAAGAAATCCAGTTGATTTCACAATAACATAGAATAGCCTATACTTTACCTCCATAGCATTA